ATAAATTACTAAAACTCACATTTATCAATAAGGCCGCCGCAAAATGAAAAAGAATAAGCGAGTGTGCGGGAAATGACCCTCATTCATAGCAAAAAAGGGCTATTGCACAACACATCTCCTGTAGAAAAGTCGTCATGGCACTCTTAGCTCAACTCCAAAATAGGGTTCATTTTCAACTTTCTAGTTATGACTCAGACTCCCAAGAGCAACAACATCATCAACAGCAACAACAACAGCATAAATACAACAGTTACAGCTTGTCGTCTTTCTCAGGCTTCTGACAGCCCTATTTATATGGCAGGAGCTGTGCAAATTAGCCTGGATTAAAGAATACCCTGTCCTAACAATCAGGTGAGCACTGTTACTCGTTGCTCATCCACCAGCCTAAATGGAAGCACTTTTTCAACACAGTGCCGCAAAAAGGCTATGGGCTATTACACGAGCCAACGCATGTCGCCTCTCGAATAATGGAATCATGTAACACCCCAACCCCCAGCCTTGTTAATTAAAAATATATTTTTTCATTTCAGATCAGTTTTATTTGACACAGTGTAAATGCTTCGAGGACGTGCTTTGATGACGTGTTGGAGAATGGAAAAGACAAATTAATTGATGTTTTCTCAGATTTATATTCATGGCACATCATCAGCAGCAGCAGCGTTCCATCGGGCCGTGGGCACGGCAGTTCTGGGCGCCCCCTCGTGGCTGGGCGCGCGAGGCGCGGCGCAGCAGCCCAGTGCCAGGACTGGCAAGTGGGTAAGGAGTGGAGGGATCTGAGAACCTGCAGTAGCCCAGTGCCAGGACTGGCAGGTGGGTAGAGTGTGGAGGGATCTGGGAACCTGCAGTAGCCCAGAGCCAGGACTGGCAGAGGGGTAGGGAGTGGAGGGATCTGGGCACCTGCAGTAGCCCAGGGCCAGGACTGGCAGGCGGGGAGGGAGTGGAGGGATCTAGGAACCTGCAGTAGCCCAGAGCCAGGACTGGCAGGTGGGTAAGGAGTGGAGGGACCTTGGCCCTGCAGTAGCCCAGGGCCAGGACTGGCAGGCGGGGAGGGAGTGGAGGGATCTTGGCCCTACAGTAGCCCAGGGCCAGGACTGGCAGGTGGGTAAGGAGTGGAGGGATCTGGGAACCTGCAGTAGCCCAGGGTCAGGACTGGCAGGTGGGTAGGGAGTGGAGGGATCTGGGAACCTGCAGTAGCCCAGAGCCAGGACTGGCAGGTGGGTAGGGAGTGGAGGGATCTGAGAACCTGCAGTAGCCCAGTGCCAGGACTGGCAGGTGGGTAGGGAGTGGAGGGATCTTGGCCCTGCAGTAGCCCAGTGCCAGGACTGGCAGGTGGGCAGGGAGTGGAGGGATCTGGGCCCTGCAGTAACCCAGGGTCAGGACTGGCAGGTGGGTAGGGAGTTGAGGGATCTGGGATCCTGCAGTAGCCCAGGATCAGGACTGGCAGGTGGGTAGGGAGTGGAGGGATCTGGGAACCTGAAGTAGCCCAGAGCCAGAACTGGCAGGTGGGTAGGGAGTGGAGGGATCTGAGAACCTGCAGTAGCCCAGTGCCAGGACTGGCAGGTGGGTAGGGAGTGGAGGGATCTTGGCCCTGCAGTAGCCCAGGGCCAGGACTGGCAGGTGGGTAGGGAGTGGAGGGATCTGGGAACCTGCAGTAGCCCAGGGTCAGGACTGTCAGGCGGGGAGGGAGTGGAGGGATCTAGGAACCTGCAGTAGCCCAGAGCCAGGACTGGCAGGTGGGTAGGGAGTGGAGGGATCTTGGCCCTGCAGTAGCCCAGGACCAGGACTGGCAGGTGGGGAGGGAGTGGAGGGATCTTGGCCCTGCAGCAGCCCAGGGCCAGGACTGGCAGGCGGGGAGGGAGTGGAGGGATCTTGGCCCTACAGTAGCCCAGGGCCAGGACTGGCAGGTGTGTAGGGAGTGGAGGGATCTGGGAACCTGCAGTAGCCCAGGGTCAGGACTGGCAGGTGGGTAGGGAGTGGAGGGATCTGGGAACCTGCAGTAGCCCAGAGCCAGGACTGGCAGGTGGGTAGGGAGTGGAGGGATCTGAGAACCTGCAGTAGCCCAGTGCCAGGACTGGCAGGTGGGTAGGGAGTGGAGGGATCTTGGCCCTGCAGTAGCCCAGTGCCAGGACTGGCAGGTGGGTAGGGAGTGGAGGGATCTGGGCCCTGCAGTAACCCAGGGTCAGGACTGGCAGGTGGGTAGGGAGTGGAGGGATCTGGGATCCTGCAGTATTCCAGGGCCAGGACGGGCAGGTGGGTAAGGAGTGGAGGGATCTTGGCCCCTGCAGCAGCCCAGGGCTAGGACTGGCAGGTGGGTAGGGAGTGGAGGGATCTGGGAACCTGCAGTAGCCCAGAGCCAGGACTGGCAGGTGGGTAGGGAGTGGAGGGATCTGGGCCCTGCAGTAGCCCAGGGTCAGGACTGGCAGGTGGGTAGGGAGTGGAGGGATCTGGGATCCTGCAGTATTCCAGGGCCAGGACGGGCAGGTGGGTAAGGAGTGGAGGGATCTTGGCCCCTGCAGCAGCCCAGGGCTAGGACTGGCAGGTGGGTAGGGAGTGGAGGGATCTGGGAACCTGCAGTAGCCCAGAGCCAGGACTGGCAGGTGGGTAGGGAGTGGAGGGATCTTGGCCCTGCAGTAGCCCAGGGCCAGGACTGGCAGGCGGGTCGACAGGAGGATGGCGCGGCGCACCGTAAAGACGGATTGCACTCCCAAATCATTCGTCAACTGCTCTCGCATCAATATTCAGCGCGGCCAGACGGCACGCCACTGCTCTCCCCTTGCGTGGGGGGGGGGGGCCGGCGGAGAGATGGCCCATGATTGTATTTACGGCGCTCCCAGATGGATGACCCCGCCGCGTTGTCCGAGCCGCGCGGGCTCCCCGTCAAGGCTTTATTGCGCGCACATTTGGGCAGAGGAGTGGTGGTGGGGGTAGAGGGGGTGTGGTTGGTATAATTGCTCACACATTTAGTTCAGCAAATGCGTAGCCAACGTGTCGGGCATCCCGCTTGTATATAACGGGGCAACGGGGGGGGGGGGGGGGGGGGGGTGACAGCAGCATGCAATGGTGAGACGTTGCATCCGTGTGTGGTGGGAATGGTGCGGTCGTATACCAGGCAACAATCAAGCAGCAACCACGTGTCCGCCACGTGTAGTGCGCGGACACGCAAGGGTATCCGCACTAATTGAGGCCCCCCTCGCTTCTTATTCCACTGGCGCCCCTCCGGTGCTTGGCATCTGCGTGCACAGTAATAACAACAATGCGGTGGCGTATGCTACTTGTCTTAGCTGGTACAACAACAACAACAACACGAAGAAGAAGAAGAAGCAACAAGCGAAGCTTGTCTGCCAGTGCACCACCCAAACTCGGCAGGTGCAATGATCGTGTTTACCTGCGGGACATCGACGTCGTGAGCGCTACGTCTGTGTGTGTGTGTCTGTGCGTGTGTGTAAAGATTGCTTTAGCGCTTGCCCCGACATCCACCGGTACCCCCCCCCATCACCACCACGAACTGCGATCCACCCTCAACCCGTCGCTCTCCACAGCACCCCCCCCACCTCGCCGCAACGCGACGGGGTTTGGGAGTTATCCCCCCCCCCCCGCATGCGCAGGCGCAGCTTTGTCTCTGGAGCGGGTGGGGGGGGGGCGGCGATCTGATGGCGAGGAGAAGTGGCGCTCGGGAGCGCGCGGCGAGGATGCGCGCCGCTACTGCTGCTGTGGCCCCTACTGCCGCTGCTGCTGTGGCCCCTACTGCTGCTGCTGCTGTGGCCCCTACTGCTGCTGCTGCTGTGGCCCCTACTGCTGCTGCTGTGGCCCCTACTGCTACTACTGCTGCTGTGGCCCCTACTGCTGCTGCTGCTGTGGCCCCTACTGCTGCTGCTGCTGTGGCCCCTACTGCTGCTGCTGTGGCCCCTACTGCTGCTGCTGTGGCCCCTACTGCTACTACTGCTGCTGTGGCCCCTACTGCTGCTGCTGCTGTGGCCCCTACTGCCGCTGTGGCCCCTACTGCTGCTGCTGTGGCCCCTACTGCTACTACTGCTGCTGTGGCCCCTACTGCTGCTGCTGCTGTGGCCCCTACTGCCGCTGTGGCCCCTACTGCTGCTGCTGTGGCCCCTACTGCTGCTGCTGCCGCTGCTCTTGCTGCTGCTGCTGCTGCGTTAGCCCCGCGGGGGCGGTGATGCCGCGCAAAGTTGGCTCGCTGCACACCACAGGCGCTGGCAGGCGCGCAAGAGGAGGAGCAGCAGCAGCAGCAGGAGGAGCAGGAGGAGAAGGACGCGGCGCCCATGTATGTGTGGCTCTCTGAGGTGAGCGAGCAACGCACGCGGGGATACGCACGCACACACACACACACTCGCACGCACACACACGCAGCACACACTCACACACACAGCACACACACGCAGCACACACACACACAGCACACACGTACACACTCACACACACTCTCGCACACACGTACACACTCGCACACACGTACACACTCACACACACTCACTCGCACGCACACACACTGGCACACACACGCACACACACTCACGCACACTCACACGCACACACACTCACACACATCACCCACACTCACACACACGCACACACTCACACACACTCACACACTCGCACGCACACACACGCACTCACACACATACTGGCACGCACACACTCACACACACAGCACACACACACAGCACACACACACACAGCACACACAGCACACACACACACTCGCACACACACTCGCACGCACATACACACACACTCGCATGCACACACGCACGCACACACACGCCCACTCGCACACACTCGCACGCACGTACACACTCGCACACACACACACTCGCACACACACGCACACTCACGCACACACACACTCACGCACACACGCACACTCACGCACACACACGCACACACACTCACGCTCACTCACGCGCACACACACACGCACGCACATACACACACACACTCACGCACACACGCACACACACGCACACACACTCACGCACACACGCGCACACACACGCACACAGCGCATCGCGATCTCGGGAGTGCTCCTCGCAGCGTCTGCCCAATGCGGAGGGAACGGCAAAAAAACGAGAGAGAGAGAGAGATCGCTCTCTGTACCTGCACGACGCGCAGTGCGTGCTGTTATTATTATTACTACTACTACCACACGTGCGGCATTGATACATATAATCACGACCGCAGTCTGCTGCTTCTCAGTGCAGTACAGATTTGGAGGAGCGCAGCACACACGAGTAGGTATACAAAGTGCAATACAGAATAGCCAGGGTTATTTCGTTTGAGACAATATTTTGTATTGCAGATGGGGGGGGGGGGGACGGTGTTCTTATAAAAGCATAAATGTAAACATTGGGACCGGCACTTCGTTCTTGCCGGGAACGTAAAGACATCTCGCGGTAGAGACGCGCATGCGGGATCCGTTGTTTGCTTGTGACCGGTTTCATTATACGGTAGTAAATTGATGTGTTTAAAATGCAGGGCATGCCTCGGAGCCAGTGACGGTGACAAAAGGAGCCTGGGAGTGAGACCGAGTCTCACTTTCTCCCCCCCCGCCGCCCTCCGAAGGATTATAGAGTCGTTAATGGAAGGAAGGGGAGTTCAACCAAAAACGGCCTCTTGTCTTCGTGTGCATTTCGCGATTTTGTTCGTCTCGGTTAACCCTACGGAGCTGCAGAATTAAACTCACAGTGCACATCTTGGATCGGGTTGGGTGCCAAGTATGCGCGACTGCCTGTCATTTGCAGGTAATGTACGTTATTTTTTTTGGTATTTATTTAACTGTTTTAAATTGGGGGGGAAAACTCACGCCACACGAATTTGTTAACGATGCACTATATGACGGCACTATATTAAGACAATCAATTGTAATGGCCCCTGTCGTGCCATTAAAATATTATCCATTTACATACCAGTGCAGATGTGACAAATAACCAATTGGCAATTATATTTGATGTTCCTTGGGGAAGAGGTTAAACTCATTGAATACGAATGCATTGCACACACGCGGATGACACGACTATATTTTACAACATTATTGCATTCCAATCTTCTCTATGTATGTTCGAAGTATTTTTTTTGTTATCCAAACGATAGGCGTTTGCAGGAGAGGTTTTGCTTTTTCGGGAGTGACCCTAATCAGCGCAGTGACTGGGTGAATGTGCTGGATGTTAACGGTGATGAGGTGCTGCATTATATGTAGGTAACTCTTTTAAATGCCTACTACTAGAATTGTTTCAGTCGGAGAGGAAACAAATTCAGAGCATTTCCCTGCATTTTCAGATGTTTGTCTGCGATAGTTGCAAACAAAAACATGAATCTGCTTTCAATGCACATACGAAGGGCGAGTGGGACTGGCTTGCCGTCCAAAACCTCGCGTGTGTGAAACTGACCGTGACATCTTTAAATGTGTGTGAACGTTTCGGCGGTGCCACTTGATTTACAGGCTCGCAGAGAGAGAGAGGGAAGCGAGCGAGAGCGTAATCGACATTACCACCACTCAGTCTTATTGTAACGCGTCGTGTACACTTCCATCGGCAAAGTAACGCAATCAATGGCGAGCACTGTGTGTGTGGCCATTACTAATTGCTAGAGAGACCGGCTTCTGCTGCTGCTGCTGCTGCTCCTTGCGAGATTCGCCGATTCGTATTCCGGATCCGCACCTGCGTAGCAGTGCCTGGATGGCCCCCCACTGTGAGAACCGACAAAGCCCATATGTCTTTTATTTCATAACAGCAAATGAGGAAATGAGACGAAAGTGAGCGAGAGAGAGAGAGAGAGATAGGTTAAGCCTGGAATTGTATATTGTTGCAAAAGTTAACTTGCACTTCGTTGTAAACAATACTACCAACTGTCCCTTTGTTTTGCGGGTAGGAGGGGGGCAGATTACCATAAGGAGAACAATTTCATTGCATTATCCCCATCTGCCACTTTTGCTTTTGTCCATAGAGAAACTTGAGGTGTTTGACAGTGACTGGCTGGATATACCCGTGGCATTCGGAATACTACCTCAGACTCGCGTCCTGTATTGATGATGGTACAATGTATTACGTGACCTTACGCAATAAGTAATTTTCTGGGGAAGAGGAGCAATTATTTTTCAAACGAGAAATACATTGTCAAGGCCGCAGAAGAAAGGACATGGAACAGGCAAGACACTGGTTTTAATAGAAAAAAGATATATTCAGTTTGTCAATTGAATATGCGCTTCATGCAATGTAAAGGTGATGTAGAAATTAAATTATTTTCTTATAATTGTGTATGGGGAATTATTATGAACAGGTTAATATGTTTTCCTTAAAAGCACATGTAATTTTAGTATATACACACTGGTATACATTGCACTTAGTGTATTAGGAATTTATATTTTTGACGTATTTTTGTATTTATATGAAATACTTGTATTCCATTTGTAATATACAAAAAATCAGCACACTCCTCAATGGCAATGCCTTAAAGTATTCACTCTTTGGGTAACATGCTCAACCGCAGTGATTTAAAGGGACACTGCAAATATATATTTTTGTTAAACATCATAATTGCCATTTCATTTTACAGTACAGCAGATAAAATCTATTTTACTAAACACTGAAAGAAAAAAAAAACCGCTTCACATCAGCTTTTGCATTGGATGCATAATATATTGATCATATTGACAACGAATTACGTGATCTCGTAATGCACTTAACAATACAATGTGGATTTATATCGCTTCAAAATTCAACCACATCTCAGGCCCCTGTGCAAGAAACAATATAGCATATTGATTCTACAGAGGCAGAGCGAAAATAAGGGGGAGATTATGAACCTGGACTTGAAAAGGAGGCAGTGAGTCAACAACAAGGATGGCTCGGAGTCTCAGACCCTGGGGTTAGCAGAGGGGGGTGAGGGACCCCCCCCCACACACTAAGCGAAGGTTTGGCTGAGGGCTTCGACAGAAAAACATCGGTTTCTGGAGCAGAGTGCGTATGAAGGAGAGCACATTGAGTTGAGAGCGGAGAGGTAAGCAGAGGCGAGTCCACGGAGGATACTGACGATGGTGAGTGAGATCTTGACATCGATCTGGGATTGGATTTGGGGCTCATGGAGGGATTATAGTGTTGGGGTAATATGGGCTCATTAATTTGTGTTTAATTTGTCGTGCTTTCTGATTCGCACGGTTGCTACGTATGGTGCGAAAGAAGTTAAACATGCATTCATTCATTAGTACGGGTGAGAATTTTGACAGTTTCACTTTGGATCATTGGGAATTTGGAGATGAGGGTTTTGGGGAGTTCACACACAGAGAGAGAAGAGAGTTGCAACAGTCAAGTCCTGATGTGCGGAAGGCTTGGCTGAGGGTCTCAGTGGCGGCCAGGATAAGGGAATGGGGCATGAAGGAGATGCTGCATATTTGAGATATGTAGGAAAAGAGAGAGATGTGGGAAAATAATTAGAAATTCGGATCAAAGACAATTACAAAGTTTTGCACACGCTTTGCCAGTGTGATGTCAAAGCTCCGACGGTTGACACTCAAACTTCAGTATTTACTGAGAGTGGAGCTTTTAATAATCAAGACCACTTGTGAAAATTTAACTGAGAGAAGTTAACACCAAGCCAAGGTGAGATCATATCACGACAGGACGTGAGAGTGAATGTGAGTTTGGGGTCATAGTGTCAATGGATGGAAATCACTTCATGATGATGTAGCGCTGGATGGCAAGAGCTTAGTGATCATGGTCAACATTTAATCTGGAAATGTATGTATGTTTAACTTCTTTCGCACCGTACATCGCCAACCGTGCTAATCAGAGGTACGCAGCAAGGACAACAAACTAAACACCCTAAATCTGTTTTCAATAAATTAGTTTACAATCGTGATTTAAAAGAAATACGTGATTTGGGCAAAAGGGAGGCGATGCATTGAGATGCTGTACAGGGTGTAGATGTTGGCGGGGTTGAAAGACTGACTTCTGCCAGAGCTAATAAACAAAGAACTATCCAGGTGATGCCCCTGTGCACAGATTGCTGCACTAGGGTGATGTCAGAATACATTAAAGGTGGAGGCTCCTCGAACTTTTACATTTTTACCCGAGTGCCCTTTGCTGTGTAACGATGGTTCAACATCTCAAAATACACAGCTTTATAAAATAATGCTGGGTTTTTTGTTGTTATCGTTGTTTCTTTAAAATAATCCAATGAGCTTATTTACACGTCCTTCAGGAATTAAACGCCGTCAAAATCAGGTGGATACTTGGTTAAACCTGGTTTATAACGTTCATATTCATCGAACATCAACCCAAGTCGCTTGTCCTAAAGTGTTGATTATTTCATATCCTCGGAAAGGGCTACAGCCCCGCCTTGCTCCGACAGCGGGATTCGCATTTTGTTGTCCATTTGCCACAAGGATTAATGATGAATGCCATGGAAGCCCCATTCTCTCCTTGCCTTGTCGAAAACAACAATAATAACAACCCCGATTAGCCACTCAGTGGCGGTGACGTGACCACGGTGCTTGTGCCAGGCAAAGTGCACTTTAAGCCCACGTGAATTGTCTAACGCGCGCTGGCAGGAAGGAGACCCAGGTGCCATGTCTTCAAGCCATCTTCGATCCTAGGGTTGGCCGCACCACGGGCAATCCTTTGCCACTGACTTCCGTCTTCTGCTATCCCCACTGTCTGTTCCAGTGTGAGCCTCGTCCATGCTTTGATGTTATATATCCATGTCATCCTTCGTCTTCCTCGCGCACGTGAACCGGGTATTGTGCCATGCACACCCTCTGGCACTCGCTTGATGCAGTACGGTACTGCTTTATGGCTCGCAGATGATGGCGATCGAAGTGATGCACGAACAAGATATCTTTCAATAACCCCGTGGTCGCATGATGATGATTACAAGGAATCTCCAATTGCTAACGCAGTGTTGAGAATTCCTTAGTCTTTCTGTGCTAGATTTGCCAGTGGATTTAAACGTGGAATTAATTACACGTGATGAATTGCATCAGCAAGGGTAGTGTGTGGAAACTTGAGGGAATACAATAATAGCAACGCAGTGCATATTGACGTAATAATTTTCGTGAGATAATAATGACAGGTTAAGTGAAATTATTTTTTGGAACCCTTATATTTGTGAATCGTGTTATTTGTAGGGTGCGGCTGATCTGAACTTCATCCCGCTATCCACAGATTGACTTTCTTCTGCTGTCTGCCCTGCACCCAGTCACGCTTTCATTTATGCTCCCTTCTTGCTCCCTTTCACTGAACAAACTCCCACTGCACGTACAACAATCTTCACCAACCTGCTTGCGTTGCTTTTTTAAAACAACCCCTATCTGTTCTCCCCCAACCCATCATCCTACGAATACTACTCCCTGCCCTCGCCTCCCGAGAGAGGACCAGGCCTACCCCAACCCCTGTCATTACCCCAACCCCTGTCACTACCCCAACCCCTGTCACTGCCCCTGTCACTACCCCAACCCCTATCACGACCCCAACCCCTGTCACTACCCCAAATCATATCCTTACCCCAACACCTATCACTACCCCAATCCCTATCACTACCCCAAACCCTGTCACTATCCTAACCCCTATCACTACCCCAACCCCTGTCAGTACCTAAACTCCTGTCACTACCCTGAACCCTATCACTTCCCCAACCCCTGTCAGTACCTAAACTCCTGTCACTGTCCTGACCCCTTTCAATATCCTAACCCCAATCACTACCCCAACCCATATAACTACCCCAACCCCTATCACTTCCCCAACTCCTATCACTACCCCAACACATATCACTACCCTAACCGCTGTCACTATCACAACCCCCGTCACTACCCCAAAACCATATCACTACCCAACCCATATCACTACCCCAACCCCTAAAAATACCCCGACCCCTATGACTACTCCAACCCCTATCACTACCGCAACCCCTGTCACTACCCAAACCCCTATCACTACCCCAACCCCTATCACTACCCCGACCACTATCACTATCCCAACCCCTGTCCCTACCCAACCCCTATTACTACCCCAACCCAAATCACTAACCCAAACCATATCACTACCCTCATCCCTGTCACTTCCCCCACCCCTATCACTACCCCAACCCATATCAGTACCTGAACCCCATTCACTACCCCAACCCCTATCACTACCCCAAGCCTTATCAATACCCCAACCCCTGTCACTACCACAACCCCATATCACTACCACGACACCTATCACTACCCCAACCCATATCACTACCCCACTCCCTTTCACTATCCTCACCCCTATCATTACCCCAACCCCTATCACTACCCCAACTCCAATCACTAACCCATCCCCTATCACTACCCCGACCCTATCACTACCCAATCCATATCACTACCCCAACCCCTATAAATACCCCGACCCCTATCACTACCCCAACCCCTGTCACTACCCCAACCCCTATCACTACCCCAACACCTATCATTACCCCAACCCCTATCACTACCCCAACCCCTATCACTACCCCTACCTCTATCACTACCCAAACCCCTATCACTACCCCAACCCCTATTACTACCCCAACGCCATTCACTACCTCAATCCCTATCACTACCCCGACCACTATCACTATCCCAACCCCTGTCCCTACGCCAACCCTTATTAATACCCCAAACCAAATTACTTCCCCAACCCCTATCACTACCCCAACCCATATCAGTACCTGAACCCCATTCACTACCCCAACCCCTATCACTACCCCAAGCCCTATCACTACCCGAACCCCTATCACTACCACAACTCCAATCACGACCCCGACCCGTATCACTACCCCGATCCCAATCACTACCCCAACCCCTATCACTACACCCACCAATATCAATACTCCAACCCCTATCACTACCCCGACCCTATCAATACCCAATCCATATCACTACCCCAACCCCTATAAATACCCCAACCCCTATCACTACCCCATGCGCCTATCACTACCCCAATCCCTATCACTACCCCGACCACTATCACTACCACTACCCCTGTCACTACCCCAAACCCTGTCATTACCCCAAATCATATCATTACCTGAACCCCAATCACTACCCCAACCACTATAACTAACCCCGACCCCAATCAATATCCCCGACTCCTATGACTACCCCAAGCCCGTTTACTACCACAACCCCTGTCACTACCGCTACCCCTGTAATTACTCCAACCCCTTTCACGAACCCAAACCCTATCACTACCCCCAGCCGTATCAATACCCCAACCCCTGTCACTACCACAACCCCATATCCCTACCCCGACACCCATCACTACCCCAACCCATATCACTACCCCATTCCGTATCACTACCCTCACCCCTGTCATTACCCCCACCCCTTTCACTACCCCAACTCCAATCACTACCCCATCCCCTATCACAACCCCAACCCCTATCACTACCCCAACCCCTATCACAACCCAGACCCCTATCTCTACCACAACCACTGTCCCTACCCCAACGCCTATCACTACCCCATCCTAAATCACTAACCCAACCCATATCACTACCCTCACCCCTGTCACAACGCTGACCAATATCACTACTCTGCCCCCTTTCACTACCCCGACCCCTATGACTACCCCAACCCCTGTCACTACCCCGAACCCTATCACTACCCCAACCCATATCACTACTCCAACCCCTATCACTACCCCAACCCATGTCACTACTCCAACCCATGTAACTACCTCGACACCTATCTCTACCCCAAAATCCTATCACTACCCCAACGCCTATCACTACCCAGACCCCTATCACTATCCCAACCCATATCAGTACCTGAACCCCATTCACTACCCCAACCCCTATCACTACCCCAAGCCTTATCAATACCCCAACCCCTGTCACTACCACAACCCCATATCACTACCACGACACCTATCACTACCCCAACCCATATCACTACCCCACTCCCTTTCACTATCCTCACCCCTATCATTACCCCAACCCCTATCACTACCCCAACTCCAATCACTAACCCATCCCCTATCACTACCCCGACCCTATCACTACCCAATCCATATCACTACCCCAACCCCTATAAAT